CCCCCTCGCATATATATATAACTATATATATACTATATATATATATACGTTAATATTGTTTTATAGCGACCCCCAAGGTGGAAAAGTGAATCACATCCCTTCCAACCGGCCTCCGTGAAAACGGAGGTCTTCGGCGTTCGACCCGCAGCGCCGCTGCTGGAAGGACCTCAACGTTTGGCTCATCGAAATCAACTCTTCGCCCGGGCACAGAGGGTGCAGAACTTTCGTTGGTTCCGTTCGTGCATGGCGTTTTCGCATGGTGGACCCGGTGTTGAAAGGGGGTGGATTGGTGCGACCACGAGTCGGTCATGTTGTAGCCTCGGGACAAAGAAGAGGTTCTGAGCACATTTGCTTGGTGTTGCTTGGTGAAGTGTGGTTGTGGAATGGACATCTGCGGAAAGCAACTGAAAGAATCTGAAAGACAAATGAGGTACTCGTGTCACTTCAGTTTGGATACCCTTGAGACACCACCAAAACAAGTGTTCGAGCCTTCCGATGCGACAATAAAACCCTTAAACACATTTGAAGTGTCCGCATCTCGCATAGCCAAAAAGTGTCCCAGCGCTATCTTGTGCTTGTCATTGGAAGCCGGTCCCTTCATTTTATCACGAAAGGTAGCGGTTACGCTACCTGAGTTTTCCTTTTGCTTTAGCAAAAATGTATTAACCCAGAGCTGCAGCCTATCTCTCGGAGAAATGGTCCCCGACATCTTCGTTTGCTGGCCGGGGGGGGGGGGCCCCCCCCCCCCTTTCAACTCCACCCTAGCGCGCCTCAGGGTCAACCGTTCGAAAACACTGTAAATATCAGTGTTTTCAGCTCTTCCAGTCCTCAGCAGTGACAAAAAATCATGGAATTTACAGCGTTTTTTGTGGCTGTCCGGCAAAAAACACCGCAAAAACCGATGGTTTTTGATGCGTCTCGGTTAGACAAATGACCGAAAAAAGACCAAAAACCAGGAAAGATTTTGTCAGAAAGGGTTTTTGAGGCTTTTGGAGGCTTCAAAATTGCACAAAACTATGGTATTTACAGGGTTTTGTGCACCTTCCCGGCAGAAAACGCCGGTATTTACATGGTTTTCTGCGCTTTTCCAGCGCTCAACCGTGGTGCGCCTTTGGATCGACGGCTACAAAATACCGTAAATACCAGTGTTTTCAGCTCCTTCTGTCTTCAAGCGTGGCCTTAGACCTTGCCGCGGCTGTGGATCGACGGCAACGAAACCTCGTAAATACCAGTGTTTTTGAGCACGTCCTGTTTGCAAGCATGGCCTGCGGCCACGCAATTTACAGGGTCGCCGCACGTCACTATGTAAATCCGAAGTTGCACTTGAGAAATATGTGACTCCTTTTGAAGGCACGTCAACCTGTATTGAAACCGCTAGACCGCTACAGCTTCTGGAGGTTTTGTCAAGCGTTTGTGCATTAGTCTTTCTTTCATCACGCTCACTCACTTCTCTTCAAACAAGTGGGGGGCCTCTCACCTCCTCCCGGATTACGCCTGATTCCCTGCTACCTTTCGTTCACCCCCCTCCTCTCTCAAGTTTAAAAAAAACATGACGATCAAGACATCTGACAGATACATAATATGCCTCTAAGAAATCTTCATGTTATAAACATGTGAATTTGCATTTTATAGTGGTGGCATCCTTTTCCAAGCATTCTATAAACAGTTTTTTAGTAAAATTGAAAACCGCAGGCCCAGCAGATTCTCAAGGGGATCTGAAAGATATTAACATGTCTGTAAGATCCTATAAAAGTATGGATGTTTGTAAAAATTCAGTTTATTGCTTTGCAATTTGCCTTGATTCAGAGTTTTGGAACCAGTTAGCAAACATGAGCCAATCCGAAATCCTGCTTAAAAGAGATGATGAGATCGATTCTCAACACACAGATGGATAGAGATCGATAATCACTCACCTCTCCCCTTTTCAGCAGTGGAGAGATTTGTTGGGCGCAGCATCTTCTTTTTTGCCGTTGTTCTTTGAGCCCGCTGCCTCCTTGGCAAAAGCCATGGTGGCGACTTCAAGTATATGGCCTTCTCATAGATGTTTGGACCATTTTAGAGCCCCTATTTTGTTGTGGCTTGAGGCGTGGACCTTCCGGTTGCACAACGAACGGGGTCCAACGAACACTGGAAACAAAGACAGTAGGAAAAACACACTCATCCGATTGGAAGGTGATCAAAGACGACGCTAGATCAGAGCAAGAAGACGAGTCCTAAAAGGTTTAATCATGAAGAAAAGCACACTCTGGCAGCCAGATTCAGCACCGCAGCAACAACATTGTCATCAGAGCAATAGCATAAAACGTTAGCATTTACAAAAAGTATACTTCTTTTGCCCCCCCGGAAGAAGGGGAGGACCACCCCCACAAAAGCAGGTGAAACTCACACTCCGCCGAGGCCGGACCTCTCTTATTCGACCTCCACCACTAAAGAGCTGGTGAAATCCATGATCGAGGCGAGGTGCTCCGTCCGTGTCCGGGACCGTCCGTCCTTGCCGGTGCGCGTCAAAAAGCAGACCGGAGGCTTCGGCCTGCGCCGGTGGGTGTGGCAAGAAAGATTCTTCTATAAGGTTGTTGTTTTGGTGTGTGTTTTTTTTTCATGTGTTTGTTGGTATCTTTAAATCATGATTAACACACACAAATAGAGCGCAAATCAGGGGGCAAGCATCAGCAAACACTTTTTGGGATGTTGGATAGAATGGCGGAAATGACCAACAATGACACTTCCAAAAAAAGAACAATAGGACGACACAGCGCAAGGTTTGAACATTTTTTGTTGCACTACTGAAGGTCCAAAGTGGCAGGCAAACCCACGAAACAGCAGTTCTTGGCAGAAAATGACTAAAAACTACATCAAGCATCATCAAGCAAGAGACATTGAGTTTCACAAAACGACCATACATGTTACATAATGTTACTTGCCATGTGCTCCCATGGTTTCGGTGATCTCTGAAAGACTCTACAAGCCGGCAGGACATGATGGCCGTGGTGGTGGACGTGGAGAAATTTGGTTCAAGGCTCATGTCTTTCAACCGAACAACTATTGCTCTCACGTGAGTGGTTTCAGAGGCCAACCAGTCCGGCCGATCTCTTCTATCTCCGACTTCGAAGAAAGACGCTTCGAAGATGGATTCCCACTAAAAAAACATGGAGATGCAAATCAGTTGCATCTACAAGGTTTTATATATGACCTTATGACTTTATAGCTATACCGACATCTACCCACCTCATGGATTTTCCAGATCCAAACGTGCAGCCGTTGGTCTAGACCGGGTCGAGGCTGGAACGCCCGAAGCGCAAGTGGGGCAGCTGGTCTGGAGACCCCAGTGTGGCACCAGAGGGACATGGGTGGACCAGCGGTGGTCTCCACTTTCACATGAGACTTTAAGGTTTAGCAGAGTGGTATGGCGATGGCCAGTGGTACTGAGTGGTTTGGCCGTGCTTGCCTGGGCCCGCCTGCTGAATTTTGGGCAGATGAGTGGGATCTGGGGCAGAGTCCAGGCCCGAGGTGTACCTGTCCCTTCAAAGAGACTTAGAGTCTTCCTTCGATGTTTTGTTTGAACAGTTTGCCTATTCAAGTGCAGACACAGATCTTTGGAGCCAGAGATCCTTGGAGATGAACAGATCATGGGTATCCCATCATCCAAAATCAGTGGTGGACCTTCAAGAAATTGTATCGGATTTCTTGGACAGCACCAAGAAATCCCTGGCTTGAGATTGATCAGTTCCAAGGTTTTCCAGTCTGGGGGGCCTGGCACTTCACAGTCTTGTCCTGCTGCGATACTTTTCTGGTGGATATATAAACCGCAGCTGACATGTACTCCGTAAATGCGTGTGAATGTCTTCGACCTTGCCGAGTTTTACTTCCTCAGAAACAATGAACTTGGACGACTACGGTAGAAGCAATTGCTAAGAAGAGAAACACGGATCAGGCGAACCGCTCCTGGAATATAGATCTCCGAACCATGCTGCTCATCGAATCTGAGCACATCCCAAGGTCCTGACCAGTTCCCTCCTTCTACTTAGGGTGTTTGAATTTGCTCCTTCTACTCCAGGAGGGTGGGGTGTGCGACACACACACACACACACACCGATCCTTCGATCGAGACGACGACAGTCGCTCAGTCGCCCAGTCGCTTGAAATCCGGGCGCTTCCAGCTATTGGATCCGGCCCGGAAGCTTGGCCTGGAGTGGCCCGGAAGGGTCCTATGGATCTTCAATGGAAACGCGACTCACGAAGCATGGTACTCAGAACCTCCACAACATCTTAGATGTGTTTTGCACCCTCAGATGTCATGTATGATGTAACTATGAATGGTTGGTTGATGTTGTTGGCACACTTGTGTATACCGGGATTTGCAGGCAAACTATTGCGAGCAAACCTGGCTAAAACAACCTCGGCCCGTCATCTACAACATCCTCAGAAGAAAAAGGTCGAAACTTCCCCTCGCAGCATCATTTCAGTGGATGCTTCATGTCTGGAGGATGTGGAGAAGTCTGGGCAAGTTCTCACAACCTTCTCTTGGGACCAACGGTTTTTTTGGTGGGTCAAGTATAATGACTTTGCTTTGGTTTGTGTTTGTTCCAAGCATCATTGATATTTGCTGCAAAAAAACATAGACAGGCTCCCTGAATTGATGGGTTGCCACGGTTGCCCCTGTATGTGACCCTTGAACTTTACATGTGATACGTCAACGCTGTTTTGGGCAGCGAGACAACACATTCCTGAAGCCCAAATATGAAACTGCAGGAAATTGCTGCTACCGAGCTGGTTGATAACTTTTGTTGGTTTTGGTTGTGTTAGGAGACTCCTGAAACTTGCGACCAATTGCCCCTGCAATATCAATGGGCTTCATGAGAAAGGGCTCTTGAAGAGAATGACTCGACCTCTTTGTTATGGTACGTACTAACATGTAATTACTGACATACCATCATGGCTAAGAATACTGGTATTGTCTACTGCAAAACAAAGAAATTCGCTCTTCTTGGTCCCGAATCTCCATGGCGCTTCGTTTGCACGTGTGCCTCCCCAGTGGCCTCTCCTGCGAGCTGGGGCCGTTTCCGCCCGACAGCGCCGTGGCCGAGCTGCGATCGGGTGCGGAGAAAGCTTTGGGGCGACCAGTGAGGCTGATGGGGTGGGCCAGGCTTCGAAGCAACAGTGGCATGGGCATGGAGTGCCCAAATCGGAGACATTTGAAGCAATGTATGGGTGCATGTGTTTCCAGGTGTTCTGCGCTCTGATTACTGAGTATAATAGGCTTTGGGAGCATCAATCAAATGAATATGGCCATGCGACAAACGTTGCATGTTTATCCATGAGCAGAATGCATAGCTCCTCCAGTAAAGCCTGGCCCAGAGGAGAGATGTTTTTGTTTTTGATGTTTCAGAGCTCAGTGCTCCACAACTAGCTAGCTTATACAACCATTCAAGTGGTGGCAGCAGCGGGGAATTTGAGGTGTTTCCACTCATACCGAGGTCATCCGAGGTCCCAAAAGACATACACCCTAGTGCAAAATCCTTAGTGAAACAATATACTGCATGGTTGTTCGGGATTCAGGCTTTGAAACTCAAGCTCCGTGCTTTCCGCTTCCGCGTTTTGGGTCCCAGGTCGGGGTAACTTCACCGACCACCGACCAACGGGCTCTCGCCTATGGCCATAAGTAGACCTTCCAGGCTCATAGAGAGCCCACCTTCCAGGCTCAAATCAAGTCCGACTGCTCACCGGCCACCAGGCTCATTGGCCCCGATGGCCTCCTTGAGGAGCACCTGTCGCTGCAGAGCGCCAAGCTCCATGACCACGACACTGTGGGTGCCATCGCCGACTGGCCGAAGATGGCGTCCACCTCACGGGCCTTCGTCCTGTGGTGTGGAGGCCGCCGGCATGCGGCCGGCTTGCTGCGGCCTGAAGACACCAAGACACCAAAGGGAGTGCATGGTTTTTTACTGTACATGTTTACCAACAGAGATTGAATTGATTGAAATGTCATCCTGTTCAGAATTGTGTAGGGAATGTATGGTTTGATGGGAGTTCCCCTGCGCCCTGCAAAGCTGAAGCTTGGGAGACGATGTGTTCATTTGCAAAGTAGTGGGTTTTGGATGGTTTTGGGGTCCTGATAGTTTGCAGACATCGAAACGTTGTACGAGGGGTGTGTTTCAGTGAAGGGCGGCGGCTAATCGATCAGTCGGAATGCCATCTCCAGGCACCAGGTCGGCCGCAAGCCAGGCCATTCAGCGAGAAGCAATCATTTTTGCCCTTTAAATAGGCTGGAAGGTCTCGCACATCTCCCACAAGGGCCTGATGTGGCAACGGAAGTGCCAGGTTATGCTATATAGACAACCATCTGGAGAGCACCAAGCGAACGGACCATATATGACCCATATTCTGCATGTCTTTGCCAGGCACACGGCACAGGCCAACTGACCAAATGGTCTCTCATTCGTTTCACCTGGAAGCTTCACTTCCTCAGGTCGTGAATCGTCGTGGGGCTCCGGACTCCTCTCGGCTCCAACGTCCTTGGTTCGGCGCCTCGACCCCGGCCGAGCTTCCGAGCTTCCGAGAGGTGGCGTGGTCACCTGGGGCCCTGCTCGCTACGGGGGCGACTGCAGCAAGGTGACTCTCCGGAGGGTTCGGACCCATGGTCTTTGGAGAGGTGTAAACCAAGTGATGGACAGTCTGTGAGTCAGTGACGGGCAGTATGTGTTTGCCCTAAGAATCAAGGACCCTCAAAGGTGAAGGTTTTGAGGGTCCAAACCCCTGCTATGCAGGGTCAAAACCCTCCATAGGAGGGTCCAATTGATTTTTAGGGTGTGTGTTTCTTTTTTTTCCGGAAGCCGGAAGAAACTGGCTTGAAGATGGCTTTTGTGACTGTCCAATTTGGGAAGGAACGGGATAAACTACTTCCTAGCTTGTGTCATCAAACCCTCAAGGGTGACACCGCAACCTGGCACAGTTCAGTTGATGAACAACCCCCTTCACCAAGTGGACACTGAGCATCCAATCCAAATATATCCATGATATATCCACATGGCTTGTATCAAATGAGTGCAAATCTACTTGTATTCCAGTGAAATTCTGGAGTTGTTGATGAACAACCCATAAGGCAGTTCCATCCTGCTCCAGAGCTTCAGAGAAAATATCAGCCCTAATCCCAAATCCAAATCCAGCTTCCGTCAGACGAAGCCTCCACAACAGAAGCCTCCACCTCGCTGAACAACACACACTCCGTTCGTAGCGTCCTCTGGTTCCGTTCGTAGGAGCGGCCAGGAGCCCCGTGATCATAGCGTCCGATCGCTCCGTTCGTTGCGATGCCAGCAGCCCCGAACGTAGCGTTAACAATTTTAAAGTCCTTTGCCTCTCCCGCCGAACTCACAGCGACCGAACACTCCAGTGAGGTTCAAGCGCTGCTGGAGACCACGCAGATCCAACACGTGCAGAGCTCCGATCGCGCCTTTGCCGCGATCTTGGCGGACGGCACCGTGTGCTGCTGGGGCGATGGCAACTTTGGGGGTGACAGCTGTAGCGTCCAGGAGCAGCTGGTGAATGTGAAGCAGATTAAGGTACGGGGCTGCCGGGTGTGGTTCAGGATGAAGTGACAGGGTAGTTATATAGGATGCAAAGAGCAGGTAGGTTGACAAGGCATTGGCGCCATGGACATGTGACATGAATGACAAACTGCAGAATCTGCACGATGACTGAAATACAAGCTCACTGCCTCACTGCTCACAGTCTCACTGCCTCAAGGTCAGCACTTGATCAGAACCAAACCGATTGTTCACAGCACTTTCTCAGGGCACATCGCCCACTTCCGGACCGAAGGCTGAACGCCGGGAACGAAGGTTCCAAACCAGTTGAGATCTGTTGGGTTCCATCGAAGGCCTGCAACACTTGCTTCGGCAGCTCCTTTGCGGCAGTGACCTGTGATGCTTGGTTTTGCGTGCGGTTTCTTTTCCACAGGTCAATCCTTTAGCTCATCTGGACATGAAAATAACACGTCAAGTTGCTGAAAACTGGTGAATCCCAATTTCACCTTCTAGAGTGCCCTTCTTCCCACCATCAACATGTTCATTTTGGGGGGGAGTGGAATCCACGCCAAATGCCATCAGACGCATCCTTCCGATCCAGCCAATGTGCATCCAGGATGGGGCTGTGGTGACCTGGGGCCATGAGCGCGCCGGCTTGGGCGACCCGAACTACGGCATCGAGCGGCCCAAGTTGCTGGAGCCGGTGGAGGTGAGGAGTCGTCCGAGCACGGGGGCCGTTCAAAGGGCTGTTTGGAGGGGGATCTTGTTGAGGTGTTGGAAGGGTTGGAAGCTGCATTCCTTTGAACATTTGAGTTGCTCACGATGTGAGATTGGGAGAAGTTGTATCGCTAGTTTAAGCCACACCAAGTGCGAACTGTCATGAACTGTACTTGTTTACAATTTAGGGTGAAGCAGACATTGTTCTTTGGCTGTAGCAACTACTGGAGGGTTTTGAGACAGACATGTTTCACATACTTAGACATACTCATTTAAGCAAAAGTTGTATGACTATCCCCAACGCTGAAACCGGAGTACGGAGTACATTTTTGTTTGTTTTGATGAAATGAGTGTATTTTAAGATGCTGAACACGGAAGTCTTCTTGGGCCAAAGATGGAAACCCGCAACATGCGCACAAATTGCCGCAAGCAAACACGTGCAATTTGAAAAGTTGCGAACCACCCCAAAATGGGTTAGATATGAGAGGGATCCATGTTTGTTTTTTTGAGTGTGTGTACGCGCTTTTTGCTTGAATGAGCATTTGTTGAAATGAGTGTTCTTTTTTGTAGCTAAGGACGCTAGCTTGATGTGAGTTTGTTTGTTTGCACTTTGCTTTATCATGTGTCCGTGTCCTGCTCCAAACATAGAGCTTCCATGAGCTTCTCCACACGCACAACCTGTCAGATCGATTTTCTCAAACAAAAAGACACCAACCATTTCCTGTCGCTCTTCTTGCGGCCCAATGAGTAGCTCTACGACTTGAGTGGCGTTCCCGCCCAGGTCGTAGCCCGTGTGCGTCGCCCGGCGCGTGCCGAGGAGCTCCAGTCGGTGGATGGTTTCAACGGTGGCGCCTTTGCCGCCCGGTCGGCGAACGGCGCGGTGAGCACCTGGGGCGACTGCAAGCGTGGCGGTGATAGCCGAGGCGTTCAGGAGCAGCTGAGGCGGGGTGGCGTTCAGGGGTGGCGATGGCGAGGCGTCCATGGAGACACCAACTCAGTTGGTGCCTGACTTGGGGGATGCTTTTACTCCAAGAAGAGCAATTCATGCAGAGGAACCGTGGAAAAGAGGGTGTTTTCTGCTCCAAAACCAGCTCAATCAAGGTCTCTTTCTCCTCGCACACGGCCCAAAGATGAGGTCAACATAACCCGTCACATGGTTCACTGCGATAGGCGCCTTAGACCGTGGAGGACAGCCTAACAATGGAAGGCACATGTACAAAACACCGATCTTGTGAATTGTTGCGAAACGCATGTGGCCAGCTTTGCTCTTGACCTTTCGACAGTTAGAATGTGTTGCATTCATTGTTATGCCCATCTAAGCCCAAGATGGCGAGATAGATCAGCCCAACAGGGTTGCCCAAGATGAAGCCATGATATCCCAACAATAGACAATAGCTCTTAACATCTCCCAACTTTCGCAAGATTTTACTGCAATGTACAGTGTGTTCGCTCTCGCAGTCCGTTTCCCAAAGCAAACTTCTGCAAAATCAACACTTTGGCAAGGGGGCTTTTGCTCGGGGATGCTCGGGGCTTTGTTTGTGCTTGTAATGGGGGGCCCTCCAGCGCTTTGTTTGCACAGCAACCCACTTCACACCAGAATCCATTGTGGGACCCTACTTAATTACATCGCTTAAAATCAATTGTTGTATTTGTGTTTTGTGGGTCCCTCAATCACATGTTTGGCAAGCAGTGTATTGCAGCGGTCCCGGAACCCAATCGATCGCTTGGCTTCAAGTCCCGGCGCTGCGAAAAGCACTTTCCGTCCATTTGTTGAAGGTTCAAAGACCCACAAATGCTTGGTGGTCCGTGTGCGCATGAAGTTTCCATCATCAACAAGTCCAGATTCTTCATTGTTTTGATATTAAAGCTTAAATGATATTGTTAAATATATATATATAATATATATAATATCATATTATATATCACACAAAGCTTGGTGAAGATTGCAGGCTTTGTGCTCATGGAGGTGTTTGATACAGAGCATTCCATCGATCCACTCTGTGAGACCTGGATTTCTTCGTTTCGGTAAAAACAATCAAAAAGCCGAATCTGTTAAGGCAGGTGCGCCAGCTGCAAGCTTCTAGGAATGCCTTCGCCGCGATCACTGAGCCGGATGGAAGAGTGGCTGAGATGCAAAGAGCGGAAGCTCCTGAGCCCCACGAGGTCCCCACCTCTTGGCCGTTCCTGGGTGGTCAAAAACAAACCTGCAAACCACGGATGTGAGCATGCCTATCTCGCTGATCGGTTTGGTTGGTGTCTTTGTCTTTGAGCCATTGCCACATGATTCGGAACAACCCTCCGGTCAACATGCTTCTGTTTGGGCAGGCACGACATGAACTTGAGCGTGCTGGAAACATGGTTTTGAATTTGTGGGCGCCTGGCAGACTGGAAAAAAGGCATCAATTGAGAGTCTAAAGTCTAAACACACAACTACATCTCCTAGAAGCGGTTTGGGTGATGCTACAGTGGGAAAGGACTCATCTTTAGCATACCATACATTGGATTGCAGTCATGTTTACAGCATGGCTTGGACAAACTTTACTAGAGTGACTCACGGGCCTCTCAAATTTTAACGGAGTGCTTCCCAAATCCCCACCATGTGCACCAACCAAAGGATGCAAGAAATCATGGTGGGGGGCAAATAGTGTTATCATACCCAAACACTCCATGGGACTGCCATAGGACTGCCACCCCATTGGCCCCCCCTGGCACCACCCCTGGCATCGGTGTTTTGGCCCATGAGTCGCGTCTGGGATATATATTGATCTATGTCCTACTCAGAACCGCTTGGAAGCGGGCCTGGTTCCGGACCTCGGACCGGACCGGACCGGACCCACCCAGTCCAAGCTCTTGGGGAACTGCGTGCCACGTCCCAGTTCTGTGGCGAAAGCGTCAATCAGGTCGTGACTTGGGGACTTCAAGAGGGTGGTGGAGATAGCACAGCTGTTCAGGATCAGCTGCATCATGTGGAGAAGATTCAGGCCCTGCAACTTCCGGTTGTGTCTGGGCTCAGATCACCGAGTCAAAGGACGATCTCAAAGAAACCCAAGCTTACAACAGAAGCTCTCCAGATCTTACGAATGGGTCTTTGTTGGGGTGAATCTTGGAAGCTCGCTTTTGAGCATTGCCTTTGGTGTTTTGTCTTCCATAGTATCTGAAGAATTAAACCTGAGCGCCATCCAAATGACCCTCTCATGCCCTGACCTAAAAAAGACCCACCGTTGGGCCGTTGAGGGGGGGTTAGTTGACACTGTTCTTTGGTTTTTCTATGACCTGAAAAATACTTCCACGCCTCCCGAAACCCAACCAGTCATCGGTCAGTAAACCATTGAATCAGGTCTTGTGTCATAATGCCACCCCACCCCACGCCACGCCACGCCACGCCACCCCACCGCCGCCAACAACAACATCGCTCCGCCAACTGCCCTATCCGCCCGGACAAACCACGGCAGGTCTCCTGTGGCTTCGCGGGCGACGCCTTCGCAGCGATCCGCTCCGATGGCCGCGTGGTGACGTGGGGCTGGGCAGAGTCGGGTGGCGACAGCAGCCGAGTGGAGGGGCGGCTGCGGGAGGTGCAAGAGCTGCAGGCAGACGGGAGACTGAAGCGTGTGGCCTTTGGGGTTCGTGAGGACTGCGTGACTGAGGAAGAATGAGGAAGAATGAGGAAAGATTCGAAAGGAAAACTGGGGAGAAAGGGGATGATCTTATATATAATATATATATATATATATTAGAGATGAGATGTGATGTGTGGCTCAGTGTTGTTCGACGAGAAAGTTACACTTGGAAAACGTTCGGATTCTTTTTGGTGGCTCGATGTGACTGTGACCTCGCTACGCTGGAAAAAAAACGTACACCTATCATCACTATCACTATCACCCTTTCCTCCTTGACAAACAACCATGTTGCAGAAAACACAGGCAACCACAACGCTCCATTTGCTAGGCCACCAGTGGCGCCTTTTGCGCCCTCCGGGCCGATGGCCGTGTGGTGACCTGGGGCCGCCCGTTGTACGGTGGCCATGTGCCACCGGAGGTCTCAGAGCAGCTACGGGAGGTGCAAGAGATTCAGGCAGCAGCGGGAAGGTGAGTCCACTTCTCAAACGCTGTCAGCTTGTGAGCCGCCTGCAGGGTCCATACGGATCATGTGAGTGTCCTCAAGAGGATCGAAGTGTTTGCCCTGATGCGGGTGAGATGATGTTTAGCACCGGAATGAGTGAGTCCATGTTTTCCCTTCATTTGATACCCTTTGTATGGTTGTAGGGGGAGGTGAAAACACAAATGTGTTTCCAAGCGTTTCCCCACGACTTATCAGCACTTGTTTGGCAGACTGGAGCTTGGAAAAAGGGCTGGGAGTTCAGGGAACATGCAGCAAACGCCCAACGCAGTGGCTCCATGTTAAGGCACCCCTTTAGCAAGAGGCACGACTGCAAGATAGTAAGGGTTAAACACCCTAAAACTGCAAAGGGTTAACACTTCTCACGCCGAGATCTTTTGACAGGTCAGGCCAGGTCAGGTGATGCTTGGATTCAAAAGACCGTGGTTTTTTCTTTTTTTTTGGGGGGGTGGCACCTCTGTAGGTATGTTGTGTTTGTTGTTTGGGCCACGTGTTCGTACTGTGTTCATGTGATTTCATGTGTATGTCATGTGGTGTTGAGACACGATGCAATCTATCCCATTGGAGATTTGATGCGTTGTGCTACATCTGTGTCTCTTGGTTGATGTCTTTGGGGGCTTTGCAACCAATTCGCCCAAAGACACGGCCAAACCTCACCCCCAACTCACCCCCCCACAACGAAAAGGGTCCCAACACTTTGCCCCAATCCGGGTGCCGCTCGGCGTTCGTCCCGCAACCAGGCCTCCTCGGGTGCCTTCGCAGCCCTCCGCCGCAATGGCGTGGTCGTGGCCTGGGGCGATCCGAGCTTCGGCGGCGACTGCAGCGAGGTCCAGGAGCAACTCACCCAGGCGGTGGGGCGTGGGGGGTGCCCGGTGCCGGGGTGCTGCTGGGCAGGTACAGCACTTAAGAGGCATTGGGTAGGCCGGCCAAGTAGATGGTGACAGACTGGTGGCAGTGAGCGGTGCTGAATGTGCGACTTGTTTGGAGGCAGAGGACATGCATGATGCTTGCAGTGTTGTGAATCAGAATCAAAGTTGCATCTTGTGGCATGTTCCCCTCGAGGTGCGCCAGATTCAGTCCACAGTTTCGGCCTTTGCGGCCATATCTTCGGCTGGCACAGTGGTCACTTGGGGCTTCCCGAGCCACGGTGGCGACAGCAGCCAGGTGCAGGAGCAGCTGAAGAAACCCGGCACATGTGTTTTGTTTTGCTAGAAGTTCTAAAGGGATGGACATTCGTCAACGTTGGAACTCCTGGAGAGGGTCAATTTTGTTGGTGTTCGGCCTTAGATGGATAGAAGCAGGTGACGGAGAATCCAAACCCGATCCAGCACCGCCCTCTTTGAGGGTTCTGGAAGGCAATTGAACCTAGGTGTTCAAAGTTGGTAAAGACATGGTCATCAGGATACTGTGCGTAAGCAAAACCATGAATTGTGTGAGGTTTTGAACAATGCTCAAGGGTTTTTTAGTTTGAAACCCACTTTGCTTTTAACCTCCAAGGGAGAAACCAGTGACATCCTTTTTGGATGCCGACGTATAGATCATTTACAAGAGCTCTGCCAACCGTCCAACTTCCAAAAACGCATGTGGGAGAGTCGAGAACAAACGCGAGGTCTATCAGATTACCATAAGCTCTTTCGATGTTGACTTTAAAAGAAGCATGGTCAACAAGCGCCCAAGCATGCATACGCCATCATGCGCCATGTCCAACTGTCCAACCTCTCCGGTGCCAAGGGATGTGCTCGAGATCCAGTCGACGGGCCGAGCGTTCTGTGCGTTGACCTCCGACCGGCGCGTCGTCACCTGGGGTGAAGCCGACTTCGGAGGCGATAGCAGCAACTGGGCTCGAGAGGGGTTTTTGCATATGGTCGCAGCATTTTTACAGGGCTCCTGGCGTGAGTATAGGATTTATTCATGGGCAGACTAAAGGTTAATTTATTGATGCGAAACATTGGAAGCAAGTCGAGGCTGAGGAGGCATTCGTTATACAGTTATACAGTATTATTACACAGCATCCTGGTGTTCGCATCTTGTCGCCGCGCATTCTACAAAGGGTCTTTACTGTATGGGGTTCCTGTTTGTCAAGATAAACGAGCAGTGCAATCACAAGTTTTGGGTACTGTAGTCCTGGTAGTCCTTTTTTCTGCCACGAGAGAGTTTTAGGGCCACGAGACGTTGGCTTGCACAAAGTTTTTAGAGGCACAAATTCCAAGTCGGATCAATTGATATGTTAAACATGTTTTGAACCATGCAGATGTTCGGTCGAGGCTTTAAAGTTGTGGCAGGTGATGGAAACCATGTTTCACACACAGTGTACCCCGGCATACATGCTCTTTATGCGAACCACTCCAAAGCCACCACACTTTGTGACCACCCCATGGCCTTCATGTTTGTCAATGTTTGTGTTAGTCTGTATATAACAAACACAATATCATCCCAAGATGTCCCAAGCAAGTTAATTAGAAAAAGAGTAAATACAGTATATAACACAATGATTGTTGGTTGACGAGTTGACCCACAGCTTGCTTATTCTTGGAAGATGTGATGCTTGCTTGATTCCTCAAAGAAGCTCGAGAAACAAGATCAGGTCCCTACTATTGCTGGTCTTTCTTTTTGCATAACATTCTACTTATATATATATTAGAAGGAATTGCTTATGCCTATCTTGGGGTGGGGAGAGGGACATGCTCTGTTGGCACGTGTTACTCGCCCATTAATTATATGCTGTATGCCCGGTCTTGCAACCTTAGCAAGTGGCTGGGACTTTAAATCAACATTGGGCCATTGATTTGGCTACCTGCATAAAATCTTCGGTAGAAGTGTACTTAGTGTACTTCAGCGGTTGCTTTTCATGGGAAACCTTTGGAGGTGTTCGGTCAACGAAAAACATATATGTACACTTAAGAGTGCATGTGTTCAACCCTTCTTACTCTCGTGTGGAGGTGGACACATAAAAACACAAAACGTAGGCAGTGTGCGTAATGTCCCCATTGGTGGTCACATTGATTCATACTCATTAATGCTCCACATTTACGTTTCGTTCAACACACCCACAGAATGATTTGGTTCTGATACCATGGACCATATTCATTATGACACCGTTCTATGATCTGATCCAAGACGATGTCCATCCACCCAGGTCACGTCCAAGATCGTCTCCGAGAGATCCTGCAGCCTTAGCGGCGAACGACGCTGGAAACGTCGGACCTGGAGCCGAAGAGATCGGTCGAAGGCGAAGCATTTTGACTGCTGTGCTGAGGGTGAGGTTCTCCCGTGGAATTGGGGGCCCTACCCCCAGGATTGGCTTGGATAAGCTGCAGAAGTATTTTGGGGGGGATTGGCTTTCCTCACTCAAATCCAGCAGGTGGAAAGTTCATCTCGGTTGAATGATGGTCTATGACGGATCCCATGCATCTATCAAATGGCGATCCAGGGATTCAGGGATCGTTCTTTAGAGAGGTGTCCCTGGCAAGCTGACATCATATGGGGGTTCGGCTTGATTCTTGATCATTTTTATAGAGCACACAAATGATCATACCCTGCGCTGGAGGGTCCAAAAGGCTTTTTTGCAATGAACATTTAGATACAGTGTGTCGTTTTAAACAAGTTATTGGTTGGGAGTGCTGAGGACGTTCCTTAATTGTGACATGCATTTTGTGGATTGGGGAGGCAATCAACATGTGGGAGAATCCATAGTCGTTGCCTACGCTGAAACATGCGCTGTAACTTATAACAAGTTTTTAAGATGTTTTTGGTGGGGACATCGATCAGTCTCTTGCTTCTGGAATCCCCTCTATAGTGGCCCTTCCTTCAGAGCTTTGACATTATCCTTGAGCCTGGTTTCTGATTCTATAGATCCACTTGTTTATCTCCTTCTTCCATCATACTGAACCTGGATTTGCATTATATGCATGTTTGTGCCTTTCACCATTGTGCATTGCTGACTTTGGATAAGCATACAAAAATGGCTGGTAAAGCATTTATTGATAGAGTTTATTCCTTGAAACATCTTGACACCCATAAACACAACTTCCTATAGGCATATAGGTAGGTTGCCGGTTGCCTTACGTCATGGCATTTGGTCATGAACCTTCGATTCGGGCCCAATTGGCTTCGGCCCCTCGTTCCCGGAGGCTGCGCTCCTCGCTTCTCTTTGCCTTGACCATTGAGTCGCTCAGGTCGCTCACAAGGCCGACCATCCAACGTTGGGGGTGTTTGGAAGCAGACGACGTCACCCGGGTTTTGCCTCCGGGCGGCGGCCACGTCGACGTGACGTCGCACGAAAGATGCTTCGCATCGAGGTTCCCAAGGAAAGAGGGTGGGACCTGGAGCTGGCCAGGTCCATATGAAGCTGGCCAGCTCCAGTTCCACCCCTGCCCTGTATTTCCGGGGGGTCCCTTTGAAAGAGGAACCCTTTCGTGGTAAGCGATCGTGTTTGGTATACACCTGAATGGAGGTCTACACCCACAACCACAAGGCCACAAGGAGCTCGGGGCTATGGTCGATAATGCTCTTCTGCCTTCTCCTTTAGCGCTGAGCGCTGCTCAGCTGAGCCTTGGACCTCGCAGGGTCTACCCATAACCGGCCAAAGCAGGCGGCCGAATGCTCATCTCGACGATCGCTGTGTCGATGGAGTGCAAGCCGAAGAAGCTGTTGACCGGAAAGAAGCAGAAGAAGAGCACTGCCCCGACTCCGGCCTCGCTAGCGTATGAAGAGAATGCGGTGGCTCAGACCAGAGCACAGTAGGCGACCGAAGGGGTTGGGTGCGTTGATTTCCCTGATCGATGTGTTGTTTTTTCGCAAAGTTTGTGTGTTTGCTTCTTGCACCTGTGTTCCTTGCCTTTCCTTGGTGTTTTTCTTTTCCAGCAGGTCTTGGACAAGTGTGATGATGGTGATGACGATGACGATGACGATGATGATGATGATTATTATTATTATTATGATGATGATGATATATGTGTATATATATATATGCTAACCCCCCAAGTACCCCCGTTTTTCTTCAAGTGCAGATAGACCAGATGACTGCATTTTCATGTCACAGCAAAAAGACACTTGCATATGTATTGCGTAGGATGCACCAGATGACAGCAGACGATACACTTACAGTTGCATGCTAAAGCTTACCAGATGACAGCAGACGATACACTTACAGTTGCATGCTAAAGCTTGCGACTTGTTCCTTGAGAAGCCTTCTGAGAAGCAGACGCAAGAGAAGTCCTATTTGTTACTTGACAAGCAGACACAGCCAGCACAGACTTTTTCAATCCCTGATCGAAGGTGCTTCACTCAACTGGTTTGACAAACTTTTGTGTCAACCATGCGCAGAGGTCACCAGAAGCCACCCACAGATCCTTATTCCGATTCCAGTACTTATACTGGATGGACCGGATCTGCTCCCGGAGCCTCACTGAGCCTGCCTTGGAATGTTGGTTCAAAGCCAGGCGAGACTTAAAGAACCGCCAAACACGATCAATGATTTGGGTGCCTGCCTCCACCTTCCTGCGGGGACACATTTCGCTGAAGCAAGGCACTTGCGTCACTTGCGTAGATCCTCTTCGGCGGCTTGAGTCCACACACCTTTTTTGATTCCTCTCGGCCTGAAGGCTTCTTGTCTTTTGGATGTTGTTGATGATGATGGCCAAAGTCTTCCTGTCAAGGGGGATACGTGAAGGGTGCACAGGAATGTTGCCGGCCAGAATGCGTTCCCACAGAGCTTTGAAATCCAGCTTGGGCGTCTCGATGGTTGGCTCAGAAATTTGGAGGCTCAGCTGGGCACTGTCTCCGGACATGGATACATCTCCAGACACCGCAAAGGACGGCATGACGAAAGACGACTCAAGTTGAGGGAGTCTACGAGTCTAAAATCTACAAAACGAGCAGCTGGGTCGGCAAGTGTGAGGCAAGTTTACCAGCAGACTCTCGCAGAGAAAAATGAGTTCCAGAAAACCTTGCCATACAAGAGTTCCACAAAGTTTTAAAAATCTTAAAACTTTTTGGAACTAAGAACTAGCAAGATTTCCCCACACTCTCCCACAGCAATCTTAATTCCAGAAAACATTGCCATACAATAGTTTCAAACAAGTTTTAAAAGTCTTAAAACTTTCTGGAAGTAAGAACTAAGATTCCCCCAGACTCTCCAACAGCATTCTTAGTTCTTAGTTCCCAAAAGTTTTAAAACTTTTAAAACTTTTTTGAAACTTTCTTGACCTTCAGATGTGGGAAGTAAGACTTGTCCCCAAGAGTTCAAACAATATATATGGTACCCCCCCTGCACATCTGACACCAAGACATGAAACATGTCTTTACCTCCAAGTTTAGTGTGAACCACACAGAAATGGGGGTACATGGGGGGGGGTACCATATATATATATATTGATTCACTGAGACACACACAAGTATGGGATGGATTCCCAGTGCTCTGTCATGTTCATTGATTGATGATGCTTATGATGATGATGATGATGATGATGATGATATATGTGTATATTTATAAATTGTTTCACTGAGACACACACACGTTTGGGATGGATTCCCAGTGCTCTTTCATGTTCATTGATTGGTTTGTTTGTTTTTTTGTATATATTTGGTTTATGTGTTTGGGTTGGTTTGTTATTTGCTTATTTGTTGCTTGTGGCAGGGTTGTTTCGTTTGTTTGTGGCAGGCTCGAACCACACACTGCATTTTTGGGGGCACTGCCCTCAGTGGCACACCAAGTATGCGCCAGGGCGAAAGGCGCATATATCACAGGAAGCATTCACAGGCAGGCTTGAACCACACACAGCATTTTTTGGGGCACTGCCCTCAGTGGCACACCAAGTATGCGCCAGGGCGAAAGGCGCATATATCACACGAAGCATTCACAGCTATTGCGCTGTTGCACAAGCATTCCCCACGTCACGTGCCTTCAAGTCATACCTTGATGTTCAAGTCATGCGGGAAGACAGACCTCGGTCCAGCGGCTCGCAGAAACACCCATTAAGCCATTCAGCGAACACATGGCAGCCTCATCCGTGACCCGTCACTTCTGGAAAGACAGAGTTGAACCCCCTTGGGAGGCCAAACTTCAATGGCGACGTGCAGCAGTGGCAGTGGCTATGCAGAAGATGAGGACCTGGGAGGGGCAGTCGAAAGCAGCGAAGCAAGGCGAACGGCCAGCTGAAGCCTCAACTATTAAAGTGGCGTGCAGGTCCTTCTGTACCCGCGGCTTTTCAGCATGGTGGATGGGGCACTGGAGAAGCACAACGGAGGTTTCGGTCGAAAGCCTGGAGGTCGAACGGATGTGGAGGAGGCGAATTCGAAGGCACCACGTAACAAATTCCTGAAAAGACGGGTTTTGTCTCATGGCTGCCGTGGTTTCAAGAGATCAGCATCATGAATCGGGTGACTACTGTTGTATTTTGTTGTCATTTATCAATGTTGGTAAGTCAGTGACCATCTGGAACATGCTTTAGAATAGATACTTGTTTGTTCATTTAAGTCAGAATGCTAGTCGTTCGCGACTGGGAGCTGCCTTCTAAAAATGAACAAACATCCTTGGGCCAGGTGTCCATTTGTCCATGGTCGTGCCATCTGGAGTTGGCAGCCGTGAGCAGCCGTGGACTTCCTGCTGCAGCCGTTCAACTCTAACGAATGGATGGGCCCTGAATCCTGCGAAGCACCCACACACATTCTTCCCCCCGCAGCAATCCTGTGGAGGTGGAACTGGCAATCAAGATCCCACAAGGTGGGGCCATTTGGCCATGACCTGGAAGTGCCATGGTGGTACCAGGATCATCTCCCTTCTAGAGTGCCACCCTCATGTACTGGCTCTACTTGACCTTCCGGCCGTGGCTTCACACCTTGTTCCTTGCCATCCAGATTGATGCTGAATCTCTCTGTGTCAGTCAACATGCAACATGCTGGGCTAGAAACGGACACAAGTCCCCGACGGTCCACAGAGGCTTCGTCAAGGTTGCAACAAAAAGCACCCAAGCCTCAATTGCCCAAGCCACTGCAGGTGGTGGAGCGAAGCTAGTTTTCAATTGGCGTGCAGGTGCTGTATACCCTTTTCAGCAGCATGGTGGATGGCGGCATCATCAGCATGAGCAGCAGAATGAGTCAGCCAGCTGGCAAGAGAAATGGCAGGAGAAGGGCCAAAAGGGCTATTTTGGCAAACACGCCATGATGTCACACAAAGA